CCCATCCCTGCTCAGCAACGCGGTGGGGTTGCTTTGTGCCCATCTTGCTGCGGCGCCTTTTGTCCACCATGGCTTCTTCGCCGATGGCAGCGCCCTCACCATGCGCCACAGCAAGCGGGGTGTCCTCCACTGGGCTCCGCAGGAAGGCCTGAATGTCGCAGCGGAGTGGGCTAATGAGTACTTCGTGAAGGCCTACTTTAGCTCTGACGAAGCGCTCCCTTGTTGGTACAGGGGGCCGCCCAGCCGCTGCGGAACGCTTTCCCGCCCTCTTGGGTGCCGTGTTGCAAAACGGCCGGGGTATGAGCAGCACACGTGTCGTTTTTGCCCGCACTGGGCAGCAAGCCAGAGCCTGTGCCGCTTGGCAGTGATTTTGTTGCGTTTCTGGGGGGCGAAAGAGTGAGACTCTCTGCGCGCATTTTGCCGTGCGTGGCCCTCGCCCGGGGCAGGGCCCGGCATCGCGGCGTGGCGTGGGATCCTGTTGCCTTTTTCTGTGCGCGCGCTGGGCTTCCCAGGCATGCTTTTCTTATTATCCATTCCTTTGCGGTGCGAGGCGTTGGAAGGTGGGTCCTCGTAGCCCAATGGATAAGGCGTTCGCTTCCTAAGCGAAAGATTGCGGGTTCGAGTCCCGCCGAGGGTAGTTTTTTTTTTTTGCTCCTTTAAAAAAAAACGCACGCTTTGTATTTTATCAGAGCGCGGTCGCGTTTTGTAGGTGGCAACGGGTTGGCGCAAAAACGCCGCTGCGACGCAAGCGGGGGCCAGGTGCGCTTCAAAAGCGACACAGTTCCATAGGAAGTTTCGCCGCAACCTCACACGCATAACCGGCGCTTTTCTATCACCTATCTTTTTTGTTTCGTCCTTTTAAGAGTACCTCGCACCAGCTGCAGCCAAGAAATTAATAAGAGGCATTTAAGAGGGATAACGTTCGCGCTCTGAAACGAAATTAAATAACCCGCCTTCCCCGCTCCCCCAAGGCTCTTTCGTAACAAAAAAAAATAACAACCAGGAAGGATAGCAAAATAAAGACAATGGTAGCCCCCTAGGCTCACCGACGGGAGGCAAAATAATTGAGTAGAGCTCTCAATTGCTCGGATCGTTCCGGGTCGTGCGTGTGGTACTGTAAGTCGTTGAGAAGCCTGGTGACAACATGGTCCAAGGCATCGCCAGATAAGTCATTCGCGGCGTACTGGCGGCGAAGCTCGGGGTCGCTCAGGTGGGGAAATTCCTTCGGTGTTCCCTCCGTTTCCAAGTTCAATTCTCTAGAGACGTCATTTTCTGTTGATGCGGAAAGCACCGCCATGGGGCTTCTCCCGTTCCTCTCTTCAAACGCCCTTTCTTCCCGCTGCAAGGGATCATTCCCAAACGCAACCATACTGTCTTCTTCTTCCTCCCCGCCCGTTTCATCTATTGCGCCTTCCTCGGTGTAGCGCGCGGACTTCACCAAGGCACGCCGAGCAAGGCGCAAAATAATCTCCTTGTTTTCAACCACCAGCGTTCCCACCTGTGCCGGTTGATAAACCCTCGCAGGGTACTGTATCACATTTTCACCATAAAAGACATTGAAGTCTCGGAAGAGTTGGTGCCGGCACAATTCTTCGCATGTAGGGCGTTGCTCTGGAAAAAAAACGAGGCAACGGAAGATTAAGTCCATCCACTTTGCTTGACGGCCGCGTGTCGTATGCAGCCGCCAGTTGTTCCTCATCAATTCCATGAGTCGTGAAGGGCGAGGGGTACTCCGCAGCAGATATAACTGTGCGTTCCCCACTGGCATAAACTGCTTAATCGCATCGTGGCTTGGAGTTCCAATAGTATTCAAAATCACCTCTAACTGAGTACTGGCGCGATGACCTTCCCACACACCATGCTCATTGAGGGCTGAGCTAACGGTAAAGAGGGCACGCCCTGTCACCATTTCGAATAAAATGCAACCTAGCGACCACACATCAATCGACGTCTCCCCACGGGAAACTGTCGTTATAATTTCAGGTGGTCGATAGTAACGTGTACAAACATAAAATGTATCACTGGCTTGGGCATCCCGCGCAAGCCCCAGGTCCGCAATAAGGGCTGTGGATTCATACGGATTGGTATTGTGCAAACGAATAAGTATGTTTTCAGGCTTCATATCACGATGAACGATATTACACTTGTGTAAGTAGTCTAGCCCAAAGCAAATCTGAAACGCCACCACAGCAAATACCTGTTCAATAAAGTCATCTGTAACTGACAAATTTAGACCTGCAGGAGACGCATGGTTGATGAAGTGAAGTAAGTCCCCCTTCATAAGAGGCATCACAATATGAAGATTAAATTTATCGCAGCCGCGTATTTTCGCCACTTCAGCCTCCAGTTGATTGTGATGCTTGAATAGTGCTGCCGTAGAACTAAGACCGGCATACGCTGGAGACTCCACATCTAAACTTTGCGGGGCCTCCCCCAACACCGCGGACCCCCCGCACCGAACACCATCCTCTACAAACCGACTTTCCACATCATTGCACGGCGTCACAAACATATTAAAAAAACCAATCACATGTGGATGGGCGTCATGCAGAAACAGCATGGTGTCAATTTCACGAATGAGACGCTTACTTTCTTGATCCACAAACCGCGCTGGAACCTTTTTAATTGCAACCTGCTCACCTGTGAGGAGATCACGGTACTCCTCAACGACACCAAATCCACCTTTACCCACAAGCCTAATGAATTCATAACGCCCAACAAGACGCGGAGTAGACATCGACCTTGCAAAGAAACCTTCCGGGCGAAACGATGCACCGCCACCACCAATCCCTTTCCCTATCCACAGCAAGCCGCAGCGTGTTAAGGGGGAGGGTAAATAAACAAAGGATGACTATTACTACAAATATGCGTAAACAAGAACAAAATGAAAATGAGAAAAAGGTGAGGAAAATGATTATATATATATATATATATATATTAAAACGAGAACTCCAACAGGCAACGATGGAAACATCAATTACTGGACCAACAACAGCAGGCCCACAGAAACAAAGAGAAAAAACAGATATAAAGTAAAGGATGAATGGGGCTTTCATCGAAAATATCTTCTTATGAGTTGAATATATATATATTCAATTTATGTGGCTGAGAGGATTGACAACAGAACCTCCCACGTAAAATAAAATAAAAACACAAGAAAAATAAGAAGCACACCTTTATTCTTTCCCAACCACATGTCAGCCGACCTTGGCCGCCTTTTCCTTCTCTTTTTTCTTCTTGCTTCGTTTTTTAAAGAAGTCAAATGCCTCGTCCACCTCCACCGCCTGTTGTTGTTGTTTCTCTTCTTCCATTTCGCGTCGTACCTCTTCCAATTCTCTACCATCACCTTGGCGCCGAAGACGATTGTTCATATGCTTCTGCTCCATAATCTGCTTTCGCTCCCTCATCGCTCCGGCCTCCTCCCGCTCAAAGATGAGTCGCACCTTCTTCTTGTAGTCATAAAGTGTGCCATTGAACGGGGTCACGGTACGGTTACCCGCCTCCCAAATCTGCATCTCCGTCTCTTCAATCAAACGCGCGTCGTGTGTCACAACCAAAACGCCTCCTTTAAAGACTTTAATGGCCTGACAGAGGGCCCCAATAGACTCCACATCCAAATGATTCGTCGGTTCATCGAAGAGGAGGAAATGCGGCTTTTCAGTACTGATGGCTGCAAATGCAACACGGGCTTTTTGCCCACCACTGAGAGTAGCAATCTGATTTTTATGCACAATGCCCTCCAAACCGAAGCTGCCCAGCTGGCGACGTGCCTTGTCCTCCTCATTGACACCAAGGGATCGAATATATTCCACCGGCGTCTTCTCCAAGGGCAACTTGTCCACAAAATGCTGATTGTAGCGACCAATGCGAACCTTACGATTGATCGTGACAACACCTCCAGTGGGGCTGAGCTCACCCGTCATGAGGTTTAACAATGTACTCTTGCCAATACCGTTAGGGCCACACAACGTGATGCGGCTGTCCGTCCAGAGTGCACAATTAACATTTTCAAAAAGAACCGGCCCCCCCGGATAGTTAAATGAAACCTCCTCCAACTTAAAAATACAAGCATCCGGTAGCTCAGGAGGTTCCGCAAAAGGGAAGTTCACGATATAGTCACGGCGTTTTTCAAGGTATATGGGGTCTAGGCGACCCGTGCGAACCTGATCCTTTATCCAATCGTCAACCTGTGCATTCGACATTCCATTGCGTTTCTTTTCCTTAATCGTTTTGGAAACGGTAGCGTATTTCTTATCCAATTCCTGGTGCCGCTGACGCAGCTGTTCATCAAAAGTACTGAAACCGCCACGATAATAGTTAAGTAGATGATTCTCCACATGAACCATGTGTGTGCACACCTCATCAAGAAAACCGGCATCGTGAGAAACAACTATAAGTGTCTTAGGACGCCGCGCCTTTTCACTGTACTGCTCGCACAAGTACGACTCCAGCCAAATGACAGCATTCAAATCCAAATGGTTTGTCGGCTCATCAAGCATAAGTACATCAGGCTCAATAAATACAGCAGATGCCAACGCTATACGCTTGCGCCAACCACCACTAAAGCTTTTTGTGGGACGCTCGTGCCACTCTGTGGGGAAACCCAAACCAAACAGAATGCGGCGGGCACGGGCCTCAGCCTGGGTTGCTCCCATCATATCCAACTCATCCTCCAGAAATTGGAGTCGTGCCATTTCCGCATCATCGAGCTCCACTTTTTCACGTAACGTAACTGCCTCATTCAAATACTCCTTCTGCTTCTTATGACTCTCAAGAACAGCTTGAACTGCACTTAAATCCGAGGCGTGAAACTCCTGCTCCTGTTCCACAAGTAAAAGGTCAAGATTTGACTGGACAGGTAACTCTCGTGTACTCAACAAACGCAAGATTGTCGACTTACCTCTTCCATTGGGACCCATAAGCCCGTAGCGCGACCCAGCAGAAAGCTTCACAAGAGTGTCCTTAAACAGCACTTTCCCATTCACAGAAACCGACACCTTTCTTATCGCAATGTCACGAGAGCCTTCGGAATGTTGATCGTCTTCCCATGTCACCGAGAATGGACTGTCACCATTCACATTAACGTTGTTCGCACAATCATTCAAAATGCGCAGCTCATCCATACGCTTATCAAATTTCTCCTGACGTTTTCGCTCCTTGCGTGAAATGGCAACACGCGGCCCCTCAACAACATTAACACCCTCCGCCTCATCCATTTCGCCCACAATCCAGACAAAACAAAAAAAAATTATATATATATATATATATATATATATATACTAAACAACTTAACAAAACTAAACCCCCTATCACAAGCAACACAAACGAAACCAAAAAAAAGCAACACAGCGGAGCGCGTGGCGCGCAGTTGCGGTGTACGCTGCAGCAGAGCGGCAGCAAAGGTAGGAGGGAAGTGGGATCCCCTCTTTGGCCCTCCACCCAATTTGTTTTTGTAGTCGCTCATTTTTTTTCTTTCAAAGC